GCCACCACTGCCTGGCTCTTTACCAACACCTTTTTTAAATAAGTGAGAAATGGTGACTGGAAGCTCCCTAAGTCCCCCTTATTCTTTAGTGCTTATGTGGAACGGCTTTTGTGTTACCCAGTGTGGTAGCTGGTGACTTCTGCAGACATACAGTGACATAGCCTTCGTAATGACTTCCGTCCCCTCGTCCACATTCTCTGGCTGATAGAGCTATTTATGTGCATTGTTTATCTCTGACCTCAGAATGACGTACTACAGTTAATAGATCCCATCTCAAAATGAGATAGCTTGTCTTTGTTTTGATAATTCTCTGGAAGAACCATCTTCCAAGCTCAAAGGTATATTCTGGGCTGGATATGGTGTCTCACACCTGTTGTCTCTACCTTTAGGAGGCAGAAGCAGAGGCAGGGGAATTGCTGTGAGTTCTAGATCAGCCTGGGTTACATTATTGAGGCCCTAACTAACTAAACAAAATTAACTAAGCTAACTAAACAAAAATTGTTCTTCTGAGTTGGGGTAAGCACATTGTCATATCTTATAATGTTTCAATTATCTTTCACCCCAACAATTATAATCGTAAAATCTTAGAGCTAGATGCTTTAGATATAATCTAGTTTTAGCCTATTACCAGGTGTGATATCAGTTACTGTATCATGGATAAAGCAGTTAAACTTCATTCCACGTGCTCCAACTCACCTGTAACCCAAAACCTTGTGTTTGATTTAGAACTCTTAGCTGGTGAGTTAGCAAAATCCTCATTTAATATATGGACTTCATGATAATATATGAACTTCTTAAATTCAAGTAAGAATTCTCTGGAAGACAGGGTGAACCCCGTCAAGTTTGCGTTTTGTTGTGTCTGATGATGTTAGGGTGAGTGAAAGGCTGTACTCTAGTTTGGGTAAATACCCCCACAGGCCCATCTGCTGAAAGCTTGGTCGTGGTGCCTTTGGGAGGCAGTGGAATCTTGAGGAACAGGCTCCGGTGGGAGGAAGTTAGGTCCCTAGAGGTATGCCCTTGAGGAGGATATTGAGAATCTGGCCCCTCCTTTTGCTTCCCAGCCACCACGAGGTAGACAGCTTTGCTTACTGTGTGTTCCCCAGCATTATTTACTGTTTGGCCACTGACCTCAAAGCAGTGGGCCACCCACCCACCCACTCACAGCCTCTGAAACCGTGAGACCAGCAAACCTTGCTCTTGATTAAGTTGATTATCTCAAGTATTTCCCACAGTAACAGAGAGCTAATAGAATATCGTGCCCCAAAGTGGAATCTGTTGAGTGTCTTCCTGGGGAGTCATCTTCTAGTCACCCTAAATAAAAAGGGTAGGAATAGAACAAAGGAGCAATTTTGCCAGAATCCAGCTTGGAGAACCAAAGGGTTACTGTGGCTACTTATAGGAACGTGGAGGAGGGGGGGGTTCTTACAGGAGCATGGATGACTTGGGAAGCTACATGTGGAAAGCCCACCCTAGCCTGGGTAACGACTTATAAAAACTGCATCCCTGGGCTTCCCTGTGTAACTTGCAGGTAACGACGCCGGAAGTTCCCTCTTCCCAGGCAATTGTGTGCTGTTGTTATAAACTTAGGAATGAACCCTGGGAGTCTGCTATGTCTCTTGTTAGTTCCGTGAATTGGGTGAGCTTCCTTCTTCCCTCCAGGAGGGAATGTTTCAATTTGGATGAACAGCCACATAACAGCGTAGTTACTGTAATGACAATTGATGGTGTAGCTCCCAAGCCTTTGACATTGATTTGTAGGAGGAAATCTGGAAAAGTCTGAAGAAACAGGCTAGAGAAAGCCTAGGATGTATAAATATGGAGTAACAGTTGCTTCTGTAAGGACTCAAGGCCAGACATCCCAGGCTACTACCAATGCTCTGGCCACCCTCTAGAACATGAGGGCAAGACCCTCTTTTTGAAGCACCACGATCTTGAGTCACAGAACGTGGAAAAGTCAAGCTGGCACCGACTTGGAAGCTTCATCCCTACTAGCTGCTAGCTTTCATAGTGCTGGAAGGTGCTAAGCACGCTACCAGAGGAGAAAAGTGGTCACCAGCCTTCGCTGGCTGCCAGCCTGGTGAGCTACAATAATGAGTGCCTGTCAAGACATGCCCTCAGACACAATAGTATTCGAACATCATGGGAGCATCCAACTCCCTTTGATTGAGTTTAAATCCTGCTCCACAAGATAAAACCCATGCCTGACATTACCAGCAGACCAAGAACCTATGGCTTGACAGGTCAGAGGCTCCAGGGGAGAACCTATTATTCCTACTCTGCTGAATGGACACAATATTAAACTGACACCTAAGGACTTACTGTTATACCCATAGATGAATGCATCTCTCAGCTCTCATCAGAGAGGCTTCTATGTGTAATAGATGGTGGCTAACGTTTGGTCATGGGGCAGAGAATAAGGGACTGTAGACGGCTCAGGCTTACGTGGGCCCGGGGCTCAGGGATCACTTCAGAAGAGGGGTGGTCGAAGTGTAAGATCCAGAGGTTAATAACAAGGAAGTTTGTTCTGAAGGCAGTAGGGCAGCTGTGCGGATGTGCTCACAGCATTTCTGCTAGCGTGCACAAGACCTGTGCAAGCCCAAGGCCGATCAAGTCTCCTGACGAGGAAGGGAGGGCATGAAGTCCCTCCCACGCCTAGCTGAGCTACTGTTGGCAGCGGTTAGCTGCTGGGAGGAGAGTCCTGTTTCTCTAAGAGTGTAGCCTCTGTTAAGTTGACCACACTCCAATGGAAGGCCACATATCCAAGAAAGGTTGGGCAACACAAATTGGTCTTGATAAATGTATGTATTTTATTTTTTAAAAGGACACAAAGTTGATCACAGGAAGGGAGGGTGGATTTGGGAAGAGTTAGAAGAGGGGTGAATATGATCAAAATGTGTATGAAATTCTCAAAGAATGAATAAAAATAGATTTAAAAAGTAAAATTAAGGCCCTGGCACCAAGGTAATAGAATACCTTGAAGGCACATTCCAGAATTGTTCAGACCACCACCTCAAAGGACTCAGACATTTCCTTTAGAGAGACCCAGGACAGCCACCTTCTGCAGGGCAATCTGGAAAACATTGTCCTGAAACCCCTTCCTCACATCCAGACACTCGGTGACTACAGTGACAGTTCAGGTGTGTCCTGGTCAGCTTGTGCCGGTGATGGACCTTGGCATCATCCACATCATGCCGGCTTTACAGACATTCAAAATGCAAGAGTTATGGAGTCCTGGAGATTTCCACAAAGATTTCAGAAGTCGCCGGGCGGTGGTGGCGCAGGCCTTTAATCCCAGCACTCGGGAGGCAGAGCCAGGGGGATCCCTGTGAGTTCGAGGCCAGCCTGGGCTACCAAGTGAGTCCCAGGAAAGGCACAGAGCTATACAGAGAAACCCTGTCTCGGGGGGGGGGGGGGGGGGGGGGGGGGGGGGGGGGGGGGGGGGGAAGATTTCAGAAGTCAGCCTGGGATGCTAAGCACTGTGTGGCAGCGGTGGAGTAGGCATCCCCCATCAGCAGCTCTCAAGCTGGCAATGTGTTGGAGATGTGAGAGGGAAGCTGAGCCCAGAATGGAGACCCCAGCAAGAGGTGACAGAACTGCCAAGGGACTCTTCATGAGGTGGGTACAGCCAGCCCCAGAGTGTGGGCACGTGGGCTGCAGTCAGCGAATCTAGGAGCAGGATTGCCTGAGCCCTTCACACGATGCCCCGGTGTGCACCAGATGTGCAGGCGTGGGCTTTAATGTTTGCCCTGCTTCCTTTGAATCTTGCTTTGATCTGATCCTCTCTACACATCTGTAGATGTAACTCTAAACGATCTTATTAAATAAGAAACACAGAGTCAAATGCAGAGTTAAAAGCCCAGAGATCGAGCAGTAGCCAAGAGCTAAGACCACCTTATCTTACCACTTGCTGCCATCCTTCCCCTGAGAGAGAGAGACCTTCTTCCTGTGTGTCTTTTAGTAAAAAGTAGCCTTTCTGTTCTGCTTTCTCGTTGGCTCTAAACCCAACCACATGACTTCCTCGTCACTGCCTGTCTATACAGACCTCCAGGTCTCTATGGTTGGTACTGAGATTAAAGGCGTGTGTCACCATGCTGGCTGTATCCTTGAACACACAGAGATTCTGCCTGCCATGTGATCAGATTAAGGGCGTGCACCACCACAACCAGACTTCTGCTTAATGGCTTGCTCTTAGCTCTGATCCCCAGGCAACTTTATTAACATACAGATAAAATCACATTCCAGCACAAATAAAAGATCACCATACATATCTATGCCTCCTTTTGGATCAGGAATGTTTACCTTGTGTTGTTGTATTCTGAACATAAGTAATCTTTTTACTTTTTGTAGCTTCTCAACTGGATCTGCCACGAGTCTCAAAGAAAACTTTTTATGCAGACTGGTGAATAATTTTGAAGCAGTTAAGATTTTGGAAACTCTTGGAGAAACATTATGAAATGGAAATAAGCCTTTGGGGCCAGGGACAGAATGCCACACTTTGAATAAGTGCCAGCGGCCAGTGTGCTGAAGACTTGGTCACCAGCCTGTTGGAGCTGCAGGGAGGAGGTGGAACCTTTAGGGAGGGGAGGAGCCGGTCCTTGGTCCTTCACAGAAAGCATGAAGTCCAGCCTCTTCCCCATTCTCTTTGCTTCCAGGCTGCCTTTAGGGGAATGTCACTGATGAATCATATGCTCCCTGCCATGATGTAGTCTCATCACAAGCCCCAAAGCAACAGGCTGAGTGACCAGTATCTGCATTGAAACCACAAGTCCAAATAAACGTTTCTGAATGTTGGGATTAAAGGCATGTGCCGCCACCACCCAGCTATGTTTCTTAGTGAGGGAATGGTAATAAAATCTGGTTTGATGTAAATTGCTTGTTAGCTATCTTAGTTTGTATAAATTGCTCATCTCTTAGATCACCATTACTGTTAGGATATTTTTAGGCCAAGAAATTTCATAGAACTCTTCCTTTTGACTTATTGAAATATGAGCCACAGTGAATTGCAACTGTCAGGTTTTATTTTGCATAGAGAAAAAAACACAACTAGTGAGAATACTCAAATGGTCTCTGTGAATTATCTCTATCAGTTGTGGGTCAGGTCCAGAAGTGGAATACAGGAAACTCGGTTTGTTCAAATCAGCTCCTTAAGCAGAACCAATTCCGATGACGTCCTACATTCCGGGCATCCCCACAGCTGAGGTGGGAGGCTTGCTGTTAGCATCCAGTGGGCAGAAGCCACAGGGCTGCCGAAGTCCACATCTCACACCCCCAGCAGAACTCTGGAGCGCAAAGCCTTGTGCCTGCTCTGACGGCCCCTCCTGTGGTCTGGATGGCTCCCTACAGCTCCCATGTACAATACTGTTTGGGAGGTTCTTAGGTCCTGGGGTCATGCCCTCATGAATGGAATTAGTACTCTTGTAAACGACTCCAAAAAGACTAGCCCTTCCAGCCACGGGAAGACACACTGGAAGGTCTGTTTCATAAGGAAGACTCCTCCCTAGACAGTCTTGCTGGTGCCTTGACCTTAGGCTTCTCAGGCTCCTAAACTATAAGAATAACTTTGTGTCTAAGTTGTCCTGTTTGTGGGATTTTTGTTGTTTTGAGATAGCATTTCACTATGCAGTTCTGGCTGGTGGGGAACTCACTATCTAGACCAGGCTGGCCTCAAATTCTCAGAGATCCCACCGGTCTCTGTCTCTGCCTCCTGAGTGCTGGGATTAAAGCCATGCAGGGCTCTACAGGATGTTTTCCTAAATTAGCAACGTAAACAGACTAGGGTAGTTTATTAACAGTGAGTGTGAGAGCGGGTGTAATTACTCAGGGTCTGATCATGTGCGATTTAGCAGCAACACAAACACTGAAATGGACCACCAGCCCTTGGACTTGGGAAAGACAGGAAGAAACAAGAACTGTGGGGCACCTGCTGAAATAGTCTGTAATTCCAGGAGATTAACGGACTAAAGGAATGAGGAAATCTATAGAGATACTGAGCTAATGGATTTAGTATTTGTGAATAGGAAGTTTTTCTATCTAGTTAAGTTTCAACCACAAGAAAAGGAGCCTTTGACATGTTCTATCAGCAAGGCTAGTTAAATGTTCATTTATCCATAGTAAATAACTGGACATTTTTCTTCTACTTTTTTTTTTTTTTTTTTTTTGCCAAAAATCAAGATGAGTTGAAAATAACTAACCCTTTAACTAGCAAACTTAAAGCTGGTGACTGGATACTGTCGTGCTATTGAGAAGGTGCCCCCGAGTCAGTACGGGGGAACCTCGCTGGACAGAGTTCACAATTTATGTGTCATCTCTGGCCATCAAGGGCTGTAGAAATAATCCCGCCGTCCCTAAAATGCACACCAGGATGAAAACCCAGAGGAAGATTCGGTCAATCACCATGGCAACATACTTCCAATCATCTTGAATCTGAAAAACAAACACAATGAAAGAAAACAACGTGAAGGGAAGGTCAGTTTTCAGTGTTAAGTCATGTTATGGTAGAGAAGCCATTTTATTTCATAGACAGGGAATCTTTTCTTATTGATGTGATCTGAGGAAATCTGTGGTGATGGCTAAAAATGATTGTCAACTTGACAGGATCCAGCATCCCCTAGGAGACAAGCCACTGAGCATGCTCAAGAAGGGTTATCGAGATTAGGCTAGCCTCTGGAGGTGACTATGAGGGACGATCTAGATTGATGAAGGTGGAAAGGCCCAGCTCAACTGTGGGCGGCATCACTCCATGTGCTAGGGTCCTAGACAGCATCAAATTGACCTGTGGCATTCATCTCTCTGCTTTCTGACTGTGGATACAGGGTGACCAGCTGCCTCACGCTCCTGGCGCCATGCCTTCTCCACACGATGGACCATTTTCCCTGGAGCGGTAAGCCCAAATAAACACCCTCAAGATGCTTCTTATCAGGCAGATGGCTGAGAAGCACTGAGACAGTGACCAACCTCAGATTTCATGTCGTGGGGAAACAGGTATAAAATATGGGCCACGTTAGTTCAAATGAGATTTTTTTTTTCCTTTTGAGGCAAGGTCTGGTCTTCATGTCTAAACAGTTTAGGTTGGCCTCATTGATCATCCTTTACGGCCTCCTGAGGGCTGTGATTATAGGTATGTACCACCACTCAGAAGTGTGTGTGTGTGTGTGTGTGTGTGTGTGTGTGTGTGTGTGTGTGTGTATCTCCTAATTTTTTTCTAAATTAAATTCCAATATTAAAGCTCGCATGCCTCTACAGGAGGGTCCGGAGCCTTTGTTAGAATGGAGACTACAATCCAACATCATTTGACATTGTTTCAAAGTGCTTGTTCATTTCTAGTTTGGGATACTAATTTCTGTTTAACGTCTGTTCCAAAGTGAAGTAAAGTGAGCCCGACATTTTTCTTTCTCACTATGCCCTTTCAAAATGCCCACCTGACCAAATATCATCTTCATCTGTAAGGCTAAGCAAGCTAAACTGCAGACATAATGGCTGGCACTAGCGTAAAGGATGGGAGAAAGAGCAAGCATAATTATAGATAATGAGCTTCAATTTAGGCTTGAAACAGGAAGGAGAATCTATGGTAATTAAACTCGAAGACAATTCAGAAAGCAAAGAAACCACAATTGAGTTGAGAGAGCGCCCATGAGTCAACTGATCTTGAAGCAATAATCACATCATGAAGAAGCAGCGTGTAATTTTATAATTCAATTAAACACACTGAAATGGGGCTGGGAGATGTGGTTCTTATTTCACCATTATAAGCTTGAGTAAATGTGTCCTTTCGGTGACACCATGAAAGTCACAGTCATGGCAAAGTTAGAATCATAATGCCCTGTTTGACATGGTACTGTATTGGAATACCCAAGACTTGTCTGTAAGCATTTCAAGTCCCCAGCCTGTGCATCACCCACCACAACGCCACTCCCAAGACTCTGCGAGGCAGCGGGGAGAAAATGGGTGGAGATAAACTTTGGTTTTAATCCAGCTCTGCTCCTTTCTAGGTATAAGAATCTGGATAAGGGGCTGGAGAGATAACTCAGCAATTAAGAGCACTGGCTGCTCTTCCAGAGGGCCCGGGTTCAATTCCCAGCACCCGCATGGGAGCTCACAACTGTCTGTAACTACAGTTCCAGGAGATCTAACACCCTCACACAGACATACATGCAAGCAAAACACCATTGTACATTAAAAAAATAATAATCTTTAAAAAAAAAAAACGAGTAAATTTCATCTCCCTCGGTCTCAATGTCCTCATCTGAAAAATGGGGATAAAAATAGTGCAACCTCAGGGGTTGCTTCTGTGACTCCTTAATGAATGCTACTTTTAATATTAATGTTGACTTAAGAAGTGTCCTTCTTCCTGTATAAATCTGAGACTGGATACAATGACGACAAAGCCTGGAATCCCACTACTGGAGGAACTGAGACAGTACAATTGTGAGTTCAAGGATGGCCTGGACTACAAGTGAGGTAACAAAGATATCCAAGGACATCTAACTGGCCTGAACAAGCTGTTGACTCAAGAGGCTAATTTCTTTTTGAAAAATTTTCTCATATCTGAGAAGAATAAATTAAATTTTAAATGAGTGTGTGTGTGTGTGTGTGTGTGTGTGTGTGTGTGTGTGTATGTGTGTGTGTGTGGTTATTGGAGGAGACCAAAGGAGGGTGTTGGATTCCCTGGAGTTAGAGTTATGGGCATTGTGAGCCATCTGATAAGGGTGCTAGGAACCAAGTTTGTATCCTCCCCAAGAGCTGCAAGTGATCTTACCTGCTGGCCATCTCTCCAGCCCCCAAGAGTCGAATTTCCTAACTCTGTCCTATGCATCGGCTCACAAAGAAGCCATAATAAAAGCCACGTATTTACCTCTTTGGCTACATTCTGTGCTTTCATGTTTTCAGCAATATACTTCACACTTTGGATGGCTTCTTTGATTTCCGGGGAGAGGGCGGAGAGGGACAACACGGCATCGACAGACTCGGAACTTGAGCTTCTCGTGAGATTAGCGCTGAAGTTCGAGATTTTTACCCTGCGGTGGTGGCAGGAGCCGCACGACCCATCTTGGCACGGGTAGCCTTCCTTGCAGCTTTTGGAGTCTGCGCGGTTGAAGCAGTTCAGGTTTGAGAGCTCAGCACTGTAGAAGGTCCTCGGCTTCTGAGCATCTCCCTCGCTGCTGGTCGGCCTCGTCATAAACATGACCCTGGGGAGCAGGTTCAGGAACACAGCCTTGACCCACGCGGGCATCGTGTGTGTGGTTGGAGTTCTGTAGTGCACATTGAGCACGAAGACCGTGATGACGATGGACAGGGTGACGAAGATCATGGTGAAGAGGAGGTACTCCCCGATCAGGGGGATGACCAGCGAGGTGGAAGGGATGGTCTCGGTGATCACTAGGAGAAAGACGGTCAGAGAGAGGAGCACGGAGATGCAGAGCGTCACCTTCTCTCCACAGTCCGAGGGCAGGTAGAAGACGAGCACCGTGAGGAAGGAGATGAGCAAGCAGGGGATGATGAGGTTGATGGTGTAGAACAGCGGCAGCCGGCGGATGTACAGCGAGTACGTGATGTCTTGGTAGATCTCCTCGCAGCAGTTGTACTTGATCTCGTGTTTGTAGCCCGGGGCTTTGATGATGGCCCACTCGCCGCTTTCCCAGTAGTCCTTGAGGTTCATGGAGGAGCCGATGAGGACCAGGTCGACCTTTGCCTTGTCGTAGGACCAGGAGCCGAACTTCATGGTGCAATTTTGGTAGTCGAATGGGAAGTAGGTCACATCAATTTTGCATGAGCTCTTAAAGATGGCCGGGGGGATCCAAGTCACTTCTCCTGTGTACTTGAGGAGAGCTTTGGTCTTGCCATCCACCTGGAAATCCCCATCGGCACTGTGAAGGCACCATGGGGCACACGACTCATGATCACCACCATATGGTCACCCAGCCAGGCTTCCCACGAGGCCACCGGGGCAATAACAAGTGATGATTTGTAAAACAGTGGGATATGGGAGGTCCAAGGACCACAAGGGGTCGCTGGGTCAACTGCTCCACTCTCCAGTGGAGATACTGAGGCCTAAGCCTCCCCAGCTCATGCTCTGCCACCCTGGTTATTCACCCTCCCACCTCTCCTAACACGTGGTTTGCCACACTTGTCACCCCCACTCTAGAGTCTCCCAGGACATTCTCACCACCTCTGGAACCTCCCCCATCACACACCGCCAGGCTGGTCATATCACCAGGACATTCTCACCACCTCTGGAACCTCCCC